TAAAGCTTACAGAAGTTGAAATTTCTTTGGTATTTAATATTACCCCACCTTTGCTACCATGGCAGTGGCTGCTCCCAGCCTGGCTGCCATGACACACTGGTTTGCACCCTTCCCTCCAAACCCCAGGCTGAACTTGTTCCCATGGATGGTCTCTCCTGGTTTGGGGAGGCGGGAAACATAGCTGAGGGCAGAAGTCAAATACATGTATGAGAAATCATACTATTTAATACTTTATTTGTACATTCAGCTTGGATTTTCTTCTTCTTCTTCTTTCCCGTACGTGCACAACCTCAATAAGTTGAGGGCTCCGGCACGGTGAGGGGTAGGGGTTTTTGGTTTGGATTTGGGGTGTCGCTCTTATTTTGTATTGTGTATATAATGTGTATATATATGTTGTTGTAGTCTGTTGGCTACAGACTACAAGCTCCTCAGTGGGCAGGGGCGCCACTCCCTGTCCGCCAGCTGGGTGGCGGTGAGTACCCGTGACTCTTGTTTGGGGTTACAAGGTGTGAATGGCATTTTTAAATGCCTGCAGTGACTTGGCTTTAACCACACTATCTGGTAGGCGGTTCCATTCTCTAACAGTTTTAGAGAAGAAGGAATTTAGGTGATAGTCAGCTCGTGAGCTTGGAGGGTGGAGGGCTAAGCTGTTTTCAGTGCGAGAGGGAGCTCGTAGCCCCTTGCTTGCTAGCGGCATGTGCATAGCTACAATGTTATTTGTGATCTTATAAAACATCTGTAAGCGGGCGTTTCGCCTCCTTTCTACGAGCAAAGGCCAGTCGAGTGTGACTAACATGTTAGACACACTAGACTGCCGTCTGTAGCGGCGGAGGGCAAAACGAGCCGCCCTTCTCTGGACAGCCTCCAGGTTCCTTATATTACTTTGGGTATAAGGATCCCATACCGTCTGACAATACTCTAGTATTGGGCGCACTAGGGTTTTGTAAGCCCGGGCTTTGACCTGTGGATTTGGAATGTTAATATTGCATCTCAGGAAGTTAACGGTATTGTTGGCTTTTGAGGATACGTGATCTATATGAAGGTCCCATCGTAAATCTCCAGATATAAGGACACCAAGATATTTGACAAAGCTGACATGTTTGAGAATATGCCCATGCAGGGAGTAGTCGTAGACAATGGGAGCTCTCTTTCTGGTGATGCTGAGCACTTCACATTTGTCAGGGTGGAACTCCATAGCCCACTTTTCCCCCCACTCTGCCAAAGTATGAAGGTCGTTCTGGAGTTTCAGTGAATCACCCTGGCATGAGACCGTCATGTAAATCATGGTATCGTCCGCAAATAAGCGAGCTGTAGAGTGTAAGTTTTCAGTGATATCATTTATATAATACAAAAACAGGCAAGGTCCGAGCACGGAACCCTGTGGGACCCCTGAAATGACATCCAATTTTCATCAGACACTTTTATGATATAATGACTGATCTGTACATGTAGTATAATTCAAAGAAGTTGAGAACTATGGGTAGGAAAATTTCCTATCGCCTGCCTATTTCTATTAAATTTTACACCATCTTCATTTTGTTTTTTTCTTGATACAAGCTCTTATTTCACTTTCAAACTCTCTCATAGTTAGTTGGTAAAATCTGTAAAAGACTGTTATTCTCTTTTGTGTATGATGGATGATGTGAGATGAGCTGATGAGAGTTTTTTCATGAGGTCATCATAATTTATGCCACGCCCACCTGATGAGGTCCATGTTGCAGGATCCAACAACAACCACGTCCAACTCAGCCATCCTTCACGGCGATGTGGTAATGTTTACAGAATATAGATCTGCCACTGATGACTAACAAATGTTACTCTTTGTGGTACAGAGCCGACTAAACGCACTATTCTAGTCAATTTTGAGACAACTTGTGTAAACTCCGTTCACGAAAAAGCACCAAGTCAGCTGGGAAGTGACCTGACGTCATGACCTTATGAACTTTGCCCCACAAAAATGGCGGAGGACTCAAGTGTGGAGGTCCGAATCTATCCAGAATCAGCCCTAGTTTCTCATAGTTAGCTCAGGGGATCAAGTCGGAGAAGGTCCATAAGACAAAATGAGCGAGTCCAGTTCTGGAAAAGGCAGCGGCAAGAGACGAAAGTCTTCTGGGACCCCTAGGAAATCTGGTAAATTACCCCCCCCCACCTACCCAACACACACGCACACCGTGCGTGATCAAGTTTAGGTGTAACAAACTGCATTAGTCGATAAGAGTAAGGATACAACCTAGAAAGTGTCTTGGCGATGAATTGTTAACACTTAAGTCTTTTTCAATACATTTTATCCCTCTGCCACAGTTTGTGTCACAAGAACAGTACTTTACCTTTCATTGTAAAGTTACTAAATGATAGTTGACATGTTCATTGTGTAAGTCATGGTTGTATTGAATCGTTATAGCTGATTTTATATTGTTTAACATTGTTGTAATGAATCGTTATACATTGTAGCTGATTTTATATTGTTTAAATGTAAACAATAACCACAATTCAGCCGAAGGGCTGCTATGGTATTGTATTTGTATTTGTATTTGTGTGAAATAAATAAACCAGTCATATATATATATCTGGTGTTCTTTCTTTCCTGCTTCCAATTTGCAGATAGCTCCTCACCCTCTCCTGTGAAAAGCCCTTCTGTAAACTACGCCAAGCTGAGTCCAATAGCTAAAAAGGTACGAGATGTGGCTGCAGACTGGCACAACCTGATCCAGAGATGGGAGGTACTGAATGCATCAGGAGCCTCAGTTGCCAACAAGATAGTCAACTGTAAGCTTGCCAACATCGAGTAGGTGTATTTTCTGTTATCTGTTAATTATAAAAAAAGATTCTATTCCTCAAGTACAATGGTTATCTTGAGGGATAAAGTTTCTATTGAAATGAATGCCAAGGGGCATTGAAAAATGACCATAATACACCATATCCCAAGTGTTCTTATGAGTTGAATGCACTGTTATTTTCAGTCAAGCTGTTGTCTTGTGGGACATTATTCCTCCCATGTCATTGCCAGATCTAAAGATGCAGCTGAGATGACTGTTGGGCAGACATCAGCAGGGTCTGTAGCTGGAGCAGGTGGAACAGGTGAAGCAGCTGATGCTGATGGGATGAGTAAGGAGCTGGAAGTCTTCTGTAATCAGCTAACTGACACTTACAATGCCATGGTGAGGGTTACTTCCTACATATTTGTACCCTTTGGGCCTACCATATAGATTTTTACAGCCAGCCAAAGTACCAAAACATGATCCATCTGACCCTCTGGAAAAATCAGGTTGTCTAAAGTTTAAAACTGTAGGTCAGGAAGGTGTTTTTTGGCGTAGGAATAGCCTTGTATACTGGTGTGTAGGCTTGTATATGTTAACGGATTGGTTTTAATTCTCAAAGACTATGTAATACTACTGATTCTAATGAGGCCACAGGCTGATTCCATATGTCTTTCTCAGGCAAAATTGTGGGAGAAGATGGAGAAGTTGACATCCAACCTGAAAGGCCAGAGAGAGCTGCAGCAGTACCAATCTGACAATGATGACAGTGATCCAAATATTCCTTTCCAGACATGGACTATTCAACATTTCTGTAAGCTCTTTATGTGGTCCACTTATTGCTTTTTATTGCTTTGGCTTAAATTGATTTGCTAAGGTAAACTATTTTTATATACTATTTTTATATCAACACTGTTCTGCATTACTTTTGGTCTATTGGTAACTTAGATTCAACATGTTACTTGTAGTTGTGTGAACCCAAGAACTATTTCTTGTTTCTTAGAACATAAGTACCATTCATGTGCTTGATGATATAGAATTCTAGTAGAGAATGGTTCAACATCATAGTAATGATCACGATTGATGCTGCTTCAAGATACTGACATTGAACAAGACAAATTGGAAGTACATAGTCATTCACAGAGTACTGCCCTTGTTTTGAATCAGGCTGTGTCAGAGTGTGTGCATCAGAAATCTTTTCTTCCTGCACAGATGAGGTATCAGCAGAGCTCTCTGAGATGTACAGCAAGGAGCTGAAACTGAAGCAGGCAATATCAGAGAACATTGCACACCAGTCTGACAGGCACACCATGATGTTCCTAGCCTCCTCCTGGCTCCACCAGCCATACATAGACAATAGGAGTGAAATATTGTTGGAGAGTATGTTGGTAGAGACTGGACACAGATGACATTTACTGTGTAGAAGAACTATTTTTTTTTTTCTGCAGACTTACAAGACATAAAATGCTCCATGGTACTATTGTCATGGGTGGCATAGCAGATGTAAGTGAAGGATGTAGTTCATCATTATAATGTTGATTTGTATTACATGTATTAAAGTTTCAGTAAACAATATGTAGTGTTCCAATGTGTCGTCTGTTCAGTTGCTTCCAGATGGAGCTACTCCCGTGACGGGAATCTCTCCACCTACTTGGTGCAGTTCCCTCATGGGATTTTCTCTGATTCTTGTAACTCAGCTTAGATCACAGCTGGCATTCTTAACCCTCTAAATCCTTGACTGTCAGCAAACTAGCCAGACACAATGACATTGTTGACTTCAGTCCACTTGAAGATAGTTCAGGTAATAATTAGCTCAAAATGACCTTTGATGTTCTGTCGCATCATGCATTCTTTTTGTGACATGGATGGCTGTTTGTAACTCTAGTGTAGGATACATGGTATAACTTAACTAAGGTCACAAAGTCCTGAAACCACTATACAACTATTATGATATCTGGTTACCAAGGAAACAGTACACACTCCATTGACCCTATGCAAGACAAATAACATAGGCTCTAACAATAGACAAGCCCAACCCACTCCTTTCTCCCCGCGTTCACACCAGGGAAACAAATATTGAACTAAAGTAGGGGATCGTTCACAGCTGTACAATATCTAATCATTACCATGTACATTTAGTATCAAGCGTTCTTTACAACCTTTCTTTTTTTAACGTAAATGAAATGTGTGGGCATTTTGTGACAAGAAAAACCTTTTTGTTTATGAATTGCGAATAAAAATTTCCCCACAGTTTTCCATCTTACCCTAAGAGCAATAGCATTGAAGTGGATCGGTTTGGTGCTGCTGGTAATAACACAGATTCTGATATATTGTTTAGGAAGTTTCTAGAGCATATTTTCGATGTCTTGATTCTGAGTTTGCCTTCTTTTTTGGAGTTGAGAAGCACATGGACGAAAATGCCATACTGTTTATGTTATTTTCATAGTTAGTACTACTAACCATGGCGACTATCAGATCTGGTGCAAACAAAGGATGTTCAAAAATACCTCTTTGCGTAAACTAAACTAACCAGGAAGGTACACAGGTAATAAAATAGCGATCTTGGTATCGCGGTTGCTACATCCAAGGAGTTTGCTACAACATCTCATTTGATCAGAAGTCATTGTTAGCCAGCCTTAAGAAAACGGAATGGTCCCTCGCCCAATATTTGCAAGGTACTCTGGGTGAAAACAACTTTGGCATCAATAGTGACGTGGTGAAAAGTAGGACAAAGCACCATAAGACCGGCACGGGTGTCGTCGTTGGAAACCACCGACCCACACTTGATTAAGTTGTACGAACGCCAGCACAGTGACCGTCTTCACTGAAAATTTACAAGACCAGGAGACAGCACCATGGGAGACATAAGTGGCGGGATGAAGTGTATTAAATACACGCTGTTTACCTTCAATCTGCTCTTCTGGGTAAGCGTTGCTTTACCTGCATTAAATATTGTCTGTAGGCATCGTCAGCAGTGCCTAACCAGTTCGTATGCCAAGGCTTACTTTTGAACCATATTCTTTCCTTGAGACACGTACGATTTTGGAACGATCAGCAAATGATACACAAGTAAACAGTTACATGGCTGTTGAAGTTAGAATGGCACTAGTATAGCCTTGCACTGCTTGCAGTCGCCTCTCAGCGCCCATTCTCCTATTTACGTGCCAGTTCCTGTGTATTTCTATAGTATAAACGTTGCACAAAAGGCATGCACAAACGATATCATTGCTAGAAAACTATCGGACACTTTTATTTTCGCATGCCATTGGTGACAGTTGTGAGACTGCGTCGTGTAGTTCAATGATAAGGAAGCTATGTATTTGATTTGTTGTTGAAAACGACCTTCATGGTAGAAAATCATTATGCGTATATTGAGTCAAAGGAGTACTGTCAGAGTATTGCACATGGTTCCACTAGTCATTGGATTACATGCTAACGACGATATCCGCCTCGGTAAAGCTAGTCTGTTGGTTTCACACGAATCCCCACAGTTGATGGGAGCTGCCATGTTGGGCCTGGGGATCTTCCTGCTGGTTGACACGAACACAGGATCCGTGCTGTCCGTGACAGGTGTGCCGACTGGCGAGCTGTACGCAGGTGGCATCGTGCTGACCGTGGCGGGGTCCATCACCATGGTAGTGGGCTTCTTCGGTTGTTGTGGTGCCATCAAGGAGAGCCAGTGTATGCTTGTCACGGTACGAACTTCTTTCCGATCAATTTTTCTACAAACTGTGAATGCACTGACTTCCCAAACTACCCGATGTTAAGACAACACATCTTATGACAAGCGATAGTGTTGGAGTAAAACGTGTAACGTTATTGTGAAGGAGAGTCTAATGATATAAGATGGAGAAAAGGAACATAAACTGGGCCATGATCTGAGGTTTCGTCTAAAATAAACGACGAAAAAATTATAGCGCAAACCATCTCAGACCGACACATGCGCATATCTAAAAGGATTCGGAAATTTGGGCGGTAGAAGTTATATGATACTTCATACAATTCCTATGATATTTTCAGTTCGCTGTGTTTCTCTGTTGTCTTATTGCTATGGAGATTGCTGTTGGAGTGTACTACGTCGTCGCCAAGGACAGGGTAAGGTCAAAAACGTTTAATTAACCTAGATTGATGCCTTTAAGAGCCACGCGTTTCGAATCAATTTTAAGCCCCGCAGTTGTACCGAGTTCGCTTGACATCTGGCAACTATCGTATGTTAACAGGCTGATGGTAAAATTGTATGCCGATTCCACGGCACTTGACGTCCCCAATTTCTAAAATTTCTGCAGGTGAATGAACTGATAGAGAACAGTCTGAACTCACTGGCAAACAAAAACTACACGGAGTACAGCACTGCTGAACAGGCACTTATCGACACTCTTCAAAAGGAGGTAGGACAGTGTGCGATACGAGGATGGACTAAGTGAACATATGATTCACATTAGCGATCCTCACTCTGAAAGTTTCAAAGTCTAGACTGGAAGTAACAAATGTATCAGGTCCCTTAATTGTGGATGCCATTTTCCCCTTTAGGTGTTTCCCTGGGTGTTTCCTTACGTAAACCCTGACAGATGATTTCAAGGTAATTTGCCCGAATGAGGGAAAGGTAATATATGGAGGTACGTAGTACCTAGGAAGGCACGGGAAGTTTTCTTTTTTGTTATCGGATATATGGTTGACATAGCAAACTGGTAACAAGGAGTTACTTTATTCCACACCGTGACAATGCAACAGCAAGCGATTACCCGTCTTTCAGATGGAATGTTGCGGAATGAACTCCACCGATGACTGGGACCCAAAACCCTCCTCCTGTGTCTGTGACATCAGCTTGACCAACTGTGTGACACCTGGGAACTGGAACAGGGTAAGTCGGAACACTACTTCAGGCAGGGAATATTTCGTACGTGTAGTTTCGCTACCCAGCGTTTCTTTGAAATACAGTACATTTTTCATGTCTTGTGTAGTTAAAAGTAAACCTGACAGAAAGTTCTTGAAAGGTCCTCCTGCCTCCACACAGGCGTGTACACCCCAGGTGATTGCTTTCATCGCCAGGAACATCTACATCATTGGTGGCGTCGGGATTGCTTTTGGTGCCGTAATGGTGCGTTAATAAACTAAAACCTATTGACCTACGGAAAATAACGATTGAAGATCAAATTGCGTAACGAGTCTTCAACTGAATCCATCATTTATATACAGAAGAGAAAGAAATTAGACAGTTACCTATGCAAATGCAAGACTTTTTCCCCTCAAGTTGTAGACACTAGTGTGGACTGTATACCACACGTAGTTACATGTAAATTATCGTTTCTAAATAGACTCCTCTATATTTCAGATCATGGGGACGATCCTTGCGTGCAGCCTGTGTAATGCTGTGAAGAAAAGCAGTAATCAAATAGCCTAGTGACAATGAACTTCAAATACCAGCTCATCTTTGTTCGTTTTTTTTTAACTATATAGAACAACTTCATGGTTCCAAACCGCATGAGTGTGTGCAGAGTGCATATGAATAGAGAACTGTCAGAGTTTGGATAGAAGAGTTCTTAGACAGATGCTTGTTTCTGAGGTGGCTTTGTTGAGATAGACAGATATTGACTGACCAATCAGAATCTAGAACACCTGTACATAAGATTGTTATCAATCAATTACTCCACTGGTATCTATTACTTCTTTCCTATCTTGTGCAAATTTCAACATAAAATCCATTTGAAAATATGATTGGTATAAAAGTGAGCACAACTATCTATAGGGCATGCTGGATTGATGCATTGCTTTTACTTTCTGTTAAATAGTATATTACTGGAGAACACTACTAGTATTACTTTTAACATTTTTATCCAACTGTGTATGACTTGGATGTGAAAGAATGAACAGTTTGAACCTGTAAGACAAAATGTCTTCAATCAGTTCATTTGAAAACTGTACAACCACAAAATTGTGCACTGCACTGCATGTAAATGTATTTAACTACAGTACATGTCATCAGTAAACACTGTTCTGTTACAAGAACTCCAATCACATTCATTTTCTATTTCTAGACACTTTCAACTCTTCAAAAAGTGGCAATCATCCATTTCGTTCAAGAATAAAGTTATGTCAATCTTAAACATTAAAAAATAAAGCAGAAAATATATTGAGTCAACATTCTCGAATCAAACATCCGATTACATTTCTCACCTTTTATAACGTTAAATAATAAACAAATTTGGCTTACAACAAAAGGCATCAGAAGACACACATTTCTCACCTTCTCCAATAGTTCTTCTATAATCAGTCCACATTATCTAAAATATACATTCAACTGATTAAAGGGAGCTGTATGTAGAATTACAAATATAACAGAACATCTGAATTCAACATTGTCCTGATAGGCCAACAAGGTAACAACAAGAAAGGTAACATACAAAGTAGTAAGGTGTCATAGCGTCAAGTAGAGAACAAACTTTTGACTTATATTCAACAGATTCCCTTGGATTGTAGGGTGTACATTAAGGCTACACAGCTGCCATTTATAAGATAATCATAACTGCATGTTGTGCTACAGGCATAAGAAAGTTAGCACAACTCATCAACTCTCTCAACAATCCTTACCTAAATTCCATGTAACATGAAACAGTGCTGTGGGTACCTGTCAGCCTGTACAGTACATGTTTGTGCACAGAGTAGGGGATAAAACAATAACACAGCCAGGGAGAACTAGACTTGTGGATATTGTGCTAGATTTGTGGATATTTGCATACTTGGGATGTTTCAATTCTGTAGAAAATGAGTTTTACTTCTCAACTTGTACAACTTGAACTTTCTTTGACCATGTTAAACAATACAACAGCGGGGAATCTTCTTAAGAATTGACATTTATAGACACCATGCCTGTATTGCCCTAATGTAAGGAACAAGACAGAATCTTAATGGCTACCTAGTTTTTCAACAGGTGTATATGGTTGTTGTACAACTGTCTGCTCCTCATTTCTAAACATCTGCTACCTAATATGGAATGTGAACTTCTACATTATACCAGACAGTCCACTCTTTACAAACAAGCCTGTACATGCAAACATTGGAAGAGATCTGTGTGGATGTGAAGTACAGAATTTACATTACATGCTATAATGTCATTACAAATGGGCTTTTGGTGCTAAATATATGTGGCCCACTAGGGTAACCCAAAAAACATAATTCTAGAGGCAAACCTAAGCATGTCTTACTAATTTGGTCAGATTTGTTAAGATTCCATCAGGCATGTTAGAAAATACAAATATAAAAAGCACCAGTAGATGCATTTAAAAGCTGTCAACATTCCTACAAACTGCACTGACATGGCAGGTTAGCACAGTGTTGCTAAACAGAATAACACCATCAAAATAGAGACAATCTTGGCAATTTCCACAGCCAGATTGCTACCTTTATGTGGGTGTTGTTGTCTGTGTTGGCAAGAACAGCACTAATACATGTATATGTCCACCAGCATATATACCATACATATTGTTAGTGACAATTAAAACAGTAGCCTAGTTCAAAAAACAAATTTCAGACCGAAAGGATAATGCAGGGGAAAAATTCAAAGGCTTAAATTTTTCAGCGGTTGTTTCTATTGTGGGTGAATTAACTCTAATTAGACCCGTCCATTCCAGTCCCTCCTCCTTACTCTGCAGTGCTGCCCAGTAAAAAACACCATGCCACATCAGATGATGGCTACAATTGGTGCTGCCACTGCTAGGTATTTTCTGTTGTTTCCATGGTGACACTGGAACATACAGTAGCTTAGCCACATTTTGGAATGAAATAGCACAATGTGCCAGACTAAGCAACTTCATCAACTTTATCATTTAAGATTTCCACTGAGGATTAGCTGACAACAGTTGTTGGAGTACCTTCCAAGGTGAGCAAACCCATTGAGACTAAAAAACATATACATATTTGTGATCATATCACTGAATGTTATATTTCCTGAACACATGAAAGCTGACTTTTATAGATGCCAGTGTATTTATTTGCTGAAATTTGCTGCTTGATCTACTCATGCATAGTGATCTGTTGCTGTGCTAGTAATGTCTGGATGGCCTCTATTGTGAACCCTGGAGCATCAATCTTCATGCCTGAACCATCTGGATTGGTCACTAGGAACTGTCCATCTGCAATCTGTGTTACTGTGGCACCTGGATGTGACATCAGGGTCACGCCCTCTTCCACCTCAGGACTGCCCATGGTGTTCCCATCTGGCTGGGTGTCTGTTGATGATGGTATTTGTTCACTGTCCTCCATCACTGTTGGCTCGGTTTGGTCCGTACTAGAAGGAACAAATTCTTCTCCAGCGTTCACAAGTTGTGTTGGTTCAGCTTCTACAGAAGCCATGTTGGACTCAGCTGGAAAAACTGTGGCCAGTTCTGTTGAATCCTGCCCAACATCTTGAGAGCTAGTTGCCACATTATTACTGTGTGCTAAGCTGCTTGTGCTTGATACCGTACCAAATCCTCCATGTCTTGATGTTATCAAGTTGTTCTGCAATGTGTCGGTTGTTTGGCTTGTTTGCATTATCTGCTCAGAGTCCGGCACTGTTTCCACCTCAGCTCTACTGGAGGTCTCAGACAAAAGGGTTTCCTCAGTTCTTTGTCGTTTTGAAGGAGGTTGTACAAGCTCTCCTGGAGAGACCACTTCCACAACTCGTCTCTCATTGGTGCTGCGGGTGGCATCTGACGGATCTGTGACCAGGAACTTGTACTTGAAGGAGTCAGAGGCTTGCACTTGTGCTGCTTCCTTCCCCTTCTGAGCAAACATCGATAGAAAATACAAGGGAGTGAAATATACATGTATACAGATGAGTTGAGTTTATGATCGATGATCATATTTAGATAATTGTTAGAGTTCATTTAGCATACATGAACATGACAGGAAATATTCTTCCTGTGGTTCGTGATATGGCAAGCCAATCCAACCTATGGTTGCTTGCCCCCATTTAAGTTCTGAAATTTTCCAGACATTTGATCTAGAAATTACAAAGAGCATTTCTAGATAAAATGTATTTCCTACAGCATTTACTCTTGGAATTTCTATGTACTGTTCATTATGTACTGTTCTGAACAAGGACATAGATATATGCCTAGCATTGCCTGCTCAGGATACCCCAAATGATATAACACCAAGCCAAATTTCTGTTTAAGGTGGTCCAGAAGGATAGCTGAGGCATATTTAGAAATACTACGAACTCTATCTGATATGGTAGTCTTTTGGGTCTATTTTTATAATTTTCTTTCGTCTTGTCACTATGGCCACATTTTGGCCGCCAAATTGACCGCCAAATTGTGCATTTTTTTCACGCTCCAGCCAGGCCCCAGTGGGGGTGTGCACATTATTTTTAAAAGCTACTCCGCCGCTCGACCAATCAGGCTCGCTGGTCATTACGTAAACTGAGAGCTTCACTGTCATAATTTTTGGGAAGGGAAAAGACACTGGAAAAGAGAGTTTTACTGAGCGTTTGATGTCAGTTGTTTGCAAAACGTTTTGGGTAAAAACCTGCCAAATGCAAAGAATACAGTAATAATTTTCTGAAAACACAAGCCGTTTCCATTGTTTATCACACTTCGTATCGGCAAAATGTTGTCAAGTTGCAACACACAACCAGAGATATACAGCCACACAAATCACCAAAAACGCCAGAAATAATCTGACAACTTCCTATATAAAAACATTCGACTGCCAAAAGAAACGAAGCTGTCTGCTTTGAGCCACAAGTTAGATCTTGGTTTAGTTATGAGCGGCCTGGCGGACCGGGTCACTGCATGCATAAAGAGCCGCGCTTGCTAGTTCATACTCGGCCGTCATTATGCGGCGTTATCCTTTGTGTTCTTTCATGATTTTCACAGACAACTCATTAAGTAATTTTCTACCGAATAAAAACGCGTCTCTACCTGTGCACTGTCTTATTATTCTGAGTTTGTATCGACTGCAACACGTTTGTAACTACTAAACGTTAACGTTACGTTCTAGTGAACAGACATGATAAGAACTACTAGTAATTTTTATAAAATCTACGTTTTTATTAAAAAATACGATACTTGCAAACTTCAGCAGAATTTTTACATAATCTTACGGTAACTGCTAACAATAATCTTTTACGATTTACAGCATACAGCAAATAGTAGCCGCTTACAAAAAAAATCAGTTCCAACAGATTTACAGAGATAGTCCGTACTTTTCAGATAGAACATAGAACGTCGTGCGTGAAAATTATTTCCACAAGTCTAGGACAACGTGCAACGTAAATTCACATAATCAACAAAATTATACTCGCTCATAATCCCATACCACGTCCGGGCAAGCTTTTTTTCCAGGGCTATCTACTCCGGTATCGCGCGATAACTTTTCAGTGTTGTGATCTTGCTGATCGTCAATCTCCTCTGGGGGTAGGCCTAAAAAACAAGTCCGTAACTCCAGAATACCCCGGCAGATTTTCTCCAATAAGGTCTCAGAATAGTCCATAAACCTCCATCTGCAAATCTACGTAGGATACGGCCGTGAAAAAGATCGTCTACCGGCCCAAATGCTGGCGCAAAGCGCACAGCTTTCTCCGCTCGTAAACAAGCCACGCCATCCGCCATTTTGGGTGAGTCACGTGACCCCTACTCGCGCGAAATCTTAGCGTTCTTTTTGGCTGTTCTTTTTACTGGATATATCCCCGGCCTGTTTTTCCAAATAGCGCCGCAGTAAGCTAAATACAGCGTGCTGACAGGCCAATGACCCATTTTTCGGTGGGAGGGATGGGCGCCCTTGGAATGGCGACAAAAAATTGGCGATTTCGGCTCTTTCGGGCTTCAAAATGGACATTATGTAACCCCTACGACATATACAGCATTTTAAGAATGAAACTGTGGAAAAAATGTTCATGGAAAGAGACAAAAAGGTGGTATTTTTTGAAAGATAAGCTTATAAACTAAAATCGTATGCGAGGCCGACACACTGCGCCGCTTTATATGTTGGGGAGGGGTGCTGGCGCATGG